GATAAGAAATTTTTTCTACTTTCACTGACTCCAGGTTGGTTCTTGTTTATAATTTCCAGAGTCACTTTGACTTGAAATTAGCCCTTCTGGAAGTTATGGACAGATTAAATATTCCCATCCCATTTATAAAAATATAGTAGAGGCTAGGTGTAAGTATGCTAAGATGGAGAGCAGACGAGGGAAAGATAAAGCATTTTAATTAACTCCAAGGTGAACAATGCTTATGTAGGTAGCACAGAGGCTGAGTGGTGGAATGTGAGAGACAGAGATAAACACCCAAGGGAACAAAGGAAGGATAAAATTAGAGAAGAAGGCTGAAACTTGAAAAAAAAAAAAAGAAAAAGAAACCAGGCAGGGAAGCAAGCATAAGATGTTGGTTTTTGATGTACTAAGATATCATAATACAACTGGACTTCAATGAAAGAACTGAATACATTTCCTTGCCCATTAATTTGTTAATCTGATAAAAAAGCATATGGGTTTGTGAAAAGATAATACAGCCAAAAGAATTACGGTAATTTTCTTTTTTAAAAAAAATATCATCTAACTTCTATACATATGAAAAGGAAATGCTTCCACTAGGGAATAAAACATTCAGCAAACCCCGTTTAACATCTATGAGCAGGTCTGTCGTATGGTTACTAAAATGAATTACATTCAATCTTCGATCTGTATATCTCTAGACATTGGCCTTAGGGACTGCAAACATCTGCTGGAAGTCACATATAGTCTATAAGAATCAGAATTAAAAATTATAGCTGCTTCATCTAATAAGACAACAGGGAATCTCAGCTATTACAGCCCTGTAGGAAAACTTTTCCCAGTAATGTTTCAATCACATTCCATGGGAAGTGTATAGGTGCTATTGTTTTAACAAGTGTGTTGGCTTGCTACCTCACAATGGTGGGCATATTACAGCATTTTGGAGGTGACATATTCTCTGAACCCCCTCATAAGAGTATTAACCCTGGACTCCCAGCCAGACTCTGTCATCTGACCCTTCTGAAGCTATCATTATTGCCCAACATGCCTCTTTGCTCCAATCAAACCACCCCCTTACTATTCTCTATATATGACTTGCTAATTTTAGTACATGTTGCTCTTAATCATAGCATGTCAGAGCTGAAAAGGCTCTTAGAGATTTAGACCAGCCCTCCTCAATTTACACCTGAGGAAAAACATTTCAGTAGTCCTTCAAAACCTATCTCAAAACTCACTTCTCACAGATTTCTTTCCCTGTTAAGTTGTAGCAGCTCTGGAAACCACTTTTTTTTTTTTATACTTCTTTGGCTATTATAATTTCTGTTTTTTCAAGAAGGAAGCCTTGGATAAGTCAATGTGCTCCTTTGGCCTCTATTTTGTTTGCTATGATAGGAGAGGGTTGTATTTGATAATCTCCAAGATCCCTTTTTATAGTATATTTTGATTCTACGAATCTATCTTTGAAGTCTTGTAGTTTTTGTAGTTGAACTTGGCCATATATGTGGGCAGTTTTTGCTTTGTATGATGCCACATTGAATGAAATTGGTGCACACTAATACCTGTTTCTCATTTTTCAACATTCCATGGTATCTGAGGTCAAATGTCAGTTACCAGGAAACTGTGCAAAGTGAAGAATCAGTGTCGCCATGCATTGCTGCAGCTAACACTGCAGCGTACAACACAAGAATTGCCTATATTTTTCTGCTCCTCAGTAGCAAACATTGGCTTTTTTAGCCTTTTGAAATTCATTTTCCAGATTTTTTTTAAGACTATTAAAATAATTTCCTACATCGTCTCTCCCCATTCACTTCTATGACGACTCAATGCCAGATTAATCTTTCTAAAACACAGTGAAGCAATAAAATCATAATCCCATGGAGTACAAAGTTTGAAGGAACTGAAACTTTCGGTCTAACTTGTCTCTAATTCATCATTACAATTTCAGTATCTCAGAGACAGTCATGCAATCCTTCCTTTTGTTTTTCCCAGTGACAGGGATCTCTTATCTTAAAAGGAAGCCCATTTCATTTTTCAACAGCTCCAATTGTTAATGGTTCTAATATTGAACTAAAAAAATTTTGTGTTCATCTACTTTTTTCCATTGGTTCAAGTTCTTTCTGACAGAATTTACAGGATAAGATCAATCCATCTAAGGGAGACTTAAGAGCACAAGCTTTGAAACCAGACGGCCAGTGTTCCAATGTCAACTCCATCACTTACTGGTACACATTTGCTAGAGGTACAGTTGTTAGGCTGTGGCAAGGAAACAAAATAACTGGCCCACTTTTCCACTGACCTAATATTCCCAGACACCATCACAGCCAGCAAATAATCGGAGCTATGTTTCACGCTTGATTATTTTTTAAATTCAGCATTTACTTCCTTAACATGGACAATTGTGGAACTTGCAACTTTGTTCTCTAATTTCAATGGTCTAAAGTCTGGCATAACAGTAATCCTAGGACCTTCCGAAGTACTGTGCTCCATAAGGTTGTTTTCTGGAAAAGAACAGCCAGAAATCAAAGATGTGTTTCAGAAAACAAGGTACACCTTCCAGAAACATTTGGCAACAGTGTTGCTGTTCTGCCTTGCCCCTGGATAATTTGATCAAGTGACACATGTGTCCAGTGAGTGGCTCATACTAAATGAGTCTCCATTTAGTATGTGTGGTGTCCAGGAAAAAAAATGAAATTAAAATAAAAAAACCATAGAGCAATTGTGTTTGTCTGAGTCTACAGCTTATGTGATTGATATTAGATATAGAATTCTTTCTCTTTTTACACAATCAGTTACATGGACCAATTTTTTCTAATCTCAAATCTGTGCATACCTGCACATTGCAGTGTTTTCCAGAAGACTCATTATAATCATCACTGAATATTTATTGAGAACCCACTGGGCACAGAGAACTGCACTAGGCATGTGATCAAGAGAAAGCCTATTTCCAGCCAAGTCCTTTTGTTTCCATCCTGTTCTGGGAGTAATAACATACCTAAGGAAAGTGGAATTCTACACATAATCAAACTTATTATCTGATTTGATCATTATTTTGATTACTACTTATGATTTATAATAGAGGTCATTATTTTATTACATACTTTCTGTATATAATTAAGTTACTTTAAATGAAGACTTTCATTCAGCACAAGTTAGTAAGAATAATGTATTTCTGATTTTCTCATCATCAACTGAAAAGAAATTGAGCCACAAGAAAAGACATGATACTATTGAAAAGATTTTTTTCAAAAATTTAGCATGCCTTGTATATATAAATGGGAAGATTGATGGCATTTGGTAAGAGATAAATTTCATTGTTTAAAAAATTATCAGAACTATGTCAAGGAAACTAAGTTCCTAGCATTCCATATGGGTCTTGAATTCCCTGATCATACTACAAGTTTCAAGTTTTAACAGGTAAAAAAGATAACTTTATTATAGATACATGCATATTTTGTGAGACAAAAGGGCCAAACTGATAAAGGAAAAAAGAAAAATCAGTGCTTTCCAAAACAGAATTTTATATTTTTCATTGTTAGTGAACTGGTTTATATGTCAGGCAAACTTTGATCTTAAAATATCTTTCAGAGGCATGATTTCCTCCAGAGACAATTTTCTGTCTTGATATCCACATAAGCGAAACAAGAATAAATATTTTATTCCATAAAATATTCCTCCTGTGACTATTCGTATCTCTCAAGCTTGTTTTTGTGTGAAGGAAGTTGTAGCCAATTTTTTGGAGATGTTTTTAGCTCTTCAGAAAGCTTCTCTTTCCCTTAAACAGGAATTGTTTTTTAACAACCTAAAAGTTGAGCGGAAAACATTCCCATGTCACATCATCTTAATTTAATATCCAATGTCCACAGCAAATTTCTTCTTCATTTGTATCACTTTCTCTCTCTGCCCTCTTCTTCTCTAATCATCCCCTTCTTCTTTCCTTATGCCCTCCCTCTCCTTCTCTCTCCTTCTGCCTCCCTAACAGGTCACCTGCGTCACGCACACAGGGAGAGAATGTCAGCAGTTGCACACTGTTCCTTCCAGCCCTGACCTGACAAGTGGAGGTGCCTCACCCTTCTGCCTGAGCCATTTAGCGCCAAAGCCATTTGGGTACATTCTGTGCACCCCTTAGATAACAAGTCTTCCTTATTGTGCCAGAATCTTCTTGGAAGCCAAGCCAGATGAATTAGTCAAAAGCACATTCTCTGATCACAAAGAAAAGTAATCTGGACTATGTTTGGGCTATATTTAAACTGAATTTAAGATGAGAAGGTCTGAATGTGTTTCCCTCTCTGATATAAGAGAGGTAATTTACTTTCCCACTGGCTCCTATTTTTGTTATCAGAATTTTTGAATTAGTCGTGTCCTAAATAATTCAGTCATCAATGTAAATTTGGATATTTTTGCATGCTTAGCTCTTCCTTAACTCTTTTGCAATGTTTATGAAGACATCATGACTAACAGAGGCAGACGATCAAGTCTGGTAGGTTCGCCCTAATCTATCCACCCCAGGGAGTCCAGCTAATCTTCCCATTACTGAGAATTCCTCCACAGAAGTGGAATCTTGGCTTCTATCTGGGACCCAACTTTCTCATTTCATCAAAGAATTGATTTCCTACAGTTAGCCTGAAAGAGAGGCAATCAACACCAGCAGTTCTATAAAGGGTTTATATTTAACAATAGGTCCACTACATAAATGCCAAATTCATGATTTCTTTTTATAGATTTTACATGCAAGCTAGCCACAGCAGAAATTTTCACCTGTTTTATTGTAATATTTAAATGCAGTGTGACTTTTCCTATAGGAAGTTCCTAACTTGTGAAAATAAGACTTAGTAAAAACCTGAGAATATGAATAAGCCATGCCCACCAAAAGTGTGTTTTCTCTTCATCTTCCTTCCACCCCCAACATCCACCCCACTGCTACTGGGATGATAAACAATTTGGAGTGCCAGATCCAACGTGTCAGCTTCCTTTATGCAGACATACGCAGGTAAGTTATCACTATCCTGGATTTACCTTACCCTGACATCCAAGTCCTCACTCCACCTTCGATAGATCCCAGGGCACTTCTACTCCTCTGGTTGGAAAAGAGATATAGATTATTTCCCATTTTTCCAGTTAAAATTCACTCATTAGAGAAATGATTATTTTATTTCTACTACCATGACTATATCCAGAAGAAATCCTCAACAGGCAGTATCTGACTGCTCAAGAGTTCTTATATGTGTTCAAGCTTTAATTCTCACTCCAATGGTTAGAATTTCCCATAGAATAAGTATAAGTGGTGGTTGTTTTCCCAATTCCGTTCATCATGCACTGGAACGCAAGATTAATAGTATTGTTTCATCTACTTCTTAGCACCATGTATATCATACCTATTCCCTGGGAAAATATGCTTATATCCCTGAACACATTTTCCTTTCTTTTCATATTAAGAAAGGACAAGAAAAGTAAAGTACTTTGGGAGTACTAGTTAACCAAACATTTATTAGCTCCTTAAGTTACTCTTCAATCAATCTTCCCCTGTTCAAAATAAAGGATTGAGAACAGAAAGCTTCTCGGGACACAGACACTGAACTCACTCTGTATGTAAACCTGTTCTATAGACAACATCGGGTGGGTGATGGATTACAGGCTGCGCAGTCAGAAAGAGCAAACTTCAAATGTTGACTTCACTACTTAATGGTTGTCACCCTCTTTAAACCTCAATTTTCTTTTAGGAAAATTGGGAATAACAACCTACTGCATTAGGCTTTGGGGGAATTAATTGAAATGATAAGTTAAATGTACTTAGCACAGTGCTTAGCACATCTTTCCATCACTGAGCTCTGACCTGATGTGTGGAGGTGGCTTACCTAGAGAATGCTAGCTGTAGTTACAAAAGGTGCCCTTTTTTTAACTACTTCATTATGATTTCCACTTCTCCAGGAATTGCTCCCTCACCCCACCCACCCAATACCCAGGAGTAGACCCCAACAGCAATGCTTGTTATGCTTGATCCTGAATACTTAACCATAAGTAGTTGGGAATGGACAATGACTCAAGCTGAGCTAATTGGATCTGCCTTCCCAAAATTTTGGATTGTGACTCAAGTATCTTAGATTGAAAGCTGGAAGCTATTTCACTTTAGTGACAGCAATCAAGGGACAACATTCAAAAACTTCTCCTTCAGGTTGCAAAGAATCCCCAGTTCCTGTTCTCAAGGTTTATTAATCTCTTCCTCGGTTTCCATGAGATACTCTAGATCTTTCTAGTCCACCCCCTCTACCACCTATTTTCTTAGTTAAACTACCTGCATTTGGTTTCCAAAGCTTGCAAAAAATTTTTTTAAATATAGTTAATAGCAGTCATTGTAATGGTAAGAATGATAGGAGTACTTGTAGTAAAAGTGGTGGTGTAATCCAAACTCTGATTTCTCATTCAAAGTGTTACACAATCTGGCTAAACATTTATGTTTCATTTCACCTTCATGTTTTATTTTCATCCTTAGTGATAGAATTCAAATTTTACTCTTGGGTATATGGCTTCATTGAACCTGTATGGTATTGCTGAGAGAAGTCACTCGCTAAATATTTGTTGAATAAGTGAAAGAAATTGTGAAGGAAATAAAGTTGAGTTAGATATGTAAGACTCTAGAGTATGTACTGGAAAACAATGAGGCTTTGGGGACATGCTTTAAAACAAAGCATTTTAATAGGCAATGGTAAATGACGTGTCCATTTCCTGTTGCCGCTGAGTTGCAGAATAAACCAGGACTAATTAACAAATAATTTTATTTCTCTAAGCTAAACACTAGTCAGTAGAGGTTAAAAGAATAGAAATAGGTACCCAAACATTTTTAAATTCTACTAAGAAAAAAAGAAAGAAACCCTAAAATAGGGTTTCTTAGATGGGTCATGAACAAAAAGAGTGTCTCCGTAAAAGCAGATCTTTTTCTTCTTGCCAAAACACAATCACTCCCTTCAATCTCCATAACATTTGCTATTACAATAGACATATGTCACAGTGACTTCCAAAGGTTGTTTTTTGTTTGAGGATTTGAGGTAAATGGCTGTTGAGTGTAACTTTTGTGAGCTGTATGGAATTGTGCTGGCTTTTGGAACTTGGAGGTTTATCTACGAAGTACTGGTAATTTCATGGAGGGTTCTGACTCAAGATGCTAGTTACTAAAAAGGCAAAATATCATAATGATGAGAAATTGGACAAACACCTGTGGAAACAATCTTTAGATCCCTCTTGCCAAAGAAATTAGTTCTGTGAGGATGTTTGGGTATAAATACTCAGCAGACTCTATTGTTCTTTTGGACTTTCTACATGGGACTATGTTGGCAGAATCTTAACCTGGCTTTGCTCCTGTTCTATTGTTTGAAAGGATAGAGGGTTCTTTTATGAGGAAATTGGAGGAGAATAAAAATGTGTTTTAATTTATTTTTATGATAAATATCACTAAATCAAAATTTAAAGCTATATATTTTTTTCAGTTTGATGCTCATAATGCAAGAAGGAGTCATTTAATAAGAAATTGAAATGAGCACTTGCTAACAATGAAGTCATTATTTTAATGAAACCTGATCAACTTTCCTGAATAATTTGGGATTCTTTTAAACAACATATTTCAAGGCAGAAAAAAAGGAAAAGACCATACGTTTGGCAGAAATGAAAAATGGTTACTATGGCAGCTTGATTTGGACATGGAAAACCTGTTTCAAGCTATTCATAAACCCAACTCTTGCAAACTATTTATTATGTACAATAAATTATATGAAACATGTAATGAAAAAATGAGAGTGACTTGCTTTAGAACTCAGAGAGTTAATGAAAACTATTTGAGGAGGAAGGTCTGGGTAAGATGTGGATTCTGGTGTTCCCTGCTGAACTAGCTTGATGAATTTTTATCCATTCCAAGAGGACCTCCTCACACTTACACTCTTCACCAGTTCAATACAAATGTCACATTCTTTAAAGAAGAAAAAAATTTGGAATTTGCCCTAACCACATTAAGTGTGCCATTTTCACAATTCAAACACAATTCATTTAGTCCTTGTTATCCATGCTTGAGTGGGCATCTACCATTAAACACCCAAGGCAAAACTTAGAGATAGCCATGGAGGCGGGGAGGGACATGTGGCCAACCATCATATTTTGAGCTACTTATTCCACACGAATGCTCACAAAAGACAACAGGAATATATTTTTAAGTGGGGCATGCATGTTTCTGTGAGTCCAGAGAAGTTGGTGATTCTATGTCAAAAATATGTATTTTTGCATATGCATGGCAAAAATAAAGTTGATTTTTGATCTTGAAGACATATAATCTAATCGGCAACACAAAATTTACATTCTCTGAACAGGAATCATTAGAAGCAATATGTAATCAGGTATTCAATAATTTTATATGAATAATGAATGCCAGGGAAACTTCACAAACGGGGCAAATGGATTTAGGTGGGATTAAGGGTAAGTGATGTGTTGCTGTATTTATTTCAAAACCTAAAGGCTTATGCTTTGTAGAAAGGAAACAATTTGGAAAAGAAGTGAGTAATAGGGAGACAGAAAGGTGTTAAGGGAGGGGTCTGGAGGGCAGGACAGTATGTGCTAATCAAAGCTGTGCTTAGTGTGTGTTAAAGTATGATCCTATAAAACACAGTAAAGAATTTAATCTTTGTGCACAAATCTATTCAAAAAATGTGGTGGCAACAGAGTGAAAGTAAAACCCTATAGTACAGTTACTGAATCTGTGAAGTAGTCAAAATAAACTCTGTCTTTATAAGCAAGATTAAACAGAGCTCTATCCCTGGAGCCAGACTGCCTGGGTTGAAATCCCAGCCCTGCATTTGCAACTGTGCCACTCTCAGTGCCTCTAGTGCTCTGCATGTAAAATGGCTCCGAGTAATGCCACACTCACCTAATAGGATTATCCTGAGGACTCAATGAGCTAAAATTTGTAAAATAGTACCTAGCATAAACTTAGAATAGTACCTAGCATAAACTAAGCATTTTATCGGTGGTTATTAAATGAAAATAAAAAATTTAAAATTGTTTGCCTCATTTCTTAATGCTCTAAAATATCTTTCATCAAGCAAATTTTATTTTATTTTATTTTTATTTTTTTTTGAGACAGAGTCTCACTTGTTGCCCAGGCTATAGTGAGTGCCATGGCGTCAGCCTACCTCACAGCAACCTCAAACTCCTGGGCTCCAGAGATCCTTCTGCCTCAGCCTCCCGAATAGCTGGGACTACAGGCATGTGCCGCCATGCCCGGCTAATTTTTATATATATATATATTAGTTGGCCAATTAATTTCTTTCTATTTATAGTAGAGACGGGGTCTCGCTCTTGCTCAGGCTGGTTTCGAACTCTTGACCTCGAGCAATCCGCCCGCCTCGGCCTCCCAGAGTGCTAGGATTACAGGCGTGAGCCACCGCGCCTGGCCCCATCAAGCAAATTTTAGAATTAACTTCCTTATTATATGGCATCTTTTATCTTAATTTAAATGTAACTTTTAACAGCTCTATTGAGGTATAATTGACATACAATAAACTATACATAAAGTGTAAATGTGACCTACCTACAAACCATCACCATAGTCAAGATAGTGAACATATCCAACATCCTCCCAACGTTTCCTCCTGCACCAATATAATCTCCCATGTTTATCTCTGTTCCCCACATTCCTGTCGCAGGTGACCACTTATATGCTTTCCTTATACATTGGTTTACATTTTCTACAATTTTATATAAATAGAATTACATAATATGTATGCTTTGGGGGAGATCTGGCTTCTTTCATGCAGCATAATAATGTTGATATTAATCCATGTTTTTTGCATGCATTAGTAGCCTATTCTTTTTTATTATTGAGTGGTATTTCCCAGGAATACTATTATATGGATATACCACAATTTGTATTTTCATTCACCTGATGATGGACATGTGGGTTGTTTCTTGTTTAGGGCTATTACAAATAAAATTTCTATCAATATTTATATATAAGCTATATATGGCCACATACTTTAATTTTCCCTGGGTCAATACATAGAAGAAAATAGCTGGGTCATTTATTAGTATGTTTAACTT